AGGAATTTGCTGGCCTTGGGAGTGGAGCTAACAGGGTATTGAGAGGAACATATCCCTCAAATACAATCTCTGTGCATACACAATATCTGTCTGGACAGACAGATAAAGCAATAATCAGATATATTCTGTATCATATATATGGCACGTTTTCTATAGAATCCATCCTTAGCTGTTGTATGATAGATCTGTAAGATATTACAAATAATAAGCAATAATAAGGCAAGTGTCCTCCTTAGGGACACACACTTCAGAAGGGAACTTGCACTTGACCCCCCCCCCCTTCAGCTTTGAGCCACCCGGTGCCACAGAGGAGGACAGAGCTCCTGTGGAACATTCTATTCCATTGACACAGAGCAAGGAATAAACCCAAACTATTGCCTGGGTTTGTTCCCTGGGGGTCTCTGCAGCAGCAAGCCCAGCACCACACTGACTGCTCTGGGCTGTGCAGGCATTTGTGCTTCTGCCTGTCTCACACACACACACAAAAGTCTGGTGTAGTGCTGCTCTCAGGAAACCCCCCAACCCTTGCTCCAGCTAAAGCCGTGGAATTTGTCTTTGTTTCCCTTGGGTTCAGGGTCAGGCTGTGCCTGTGTCCAGCCCAGAGGCTCAGAAAAGCATTTCTCCCGTCCCACTGCAATCTGCTGCTGCAGACAGGACCCAGGCACTGGTGGCCCTGGGAGTGAACAGCAGAGTGTTTCCAGGGGCTCTCTGAAGGAACACAGCAAAGAAACACTCCAAAAGAACACTCCAAAGAAACCAGCACAAGTGTCCACAGAAGTCCCAGTCCTTCATCCCTGAATGAACTTGTTCAGCCCAGGAAAAACTGTCTAAGTTTAATTTCCATGGAAGGAGGTTTTTCCTACTTTAACACCAGTTTAGTTCCAAACCGATTTCTTCATTTCCTCCTCCCAGTTTCCCTGAAGGACACTGACAGGGATCACAGAGTTTGTCCCTTGGCCATACAGCTCCTGTTGTTTGGCAGCACAGGAGAGGTTAATTAGAGCCCAGGCTCCAATCCCAGGGTGCCCCTTGAAGAAGAGCTTGAAACCAAACTGCTTTCCTATTGGGGGGTTAAATTCAGTCCCCATCGTGTAGTCATGAAAGAAGTTGCCAGTGAATTTGCCAGAAAGCATAAAAAATAGAAGAGCTCACAGTTATACACAAATACAGGTAATTACTGTTCTGACCACACATTCCAGGTTAATTTGGTGCAGTGATAATAAAAATCACAAACCCACATAATGCTGTGCAAGATGACACAGATTGACCAAGTGAAGTCCTACATTAACAGAGATAAATTCAAGAAGGTCAGCAGGGCACTGTTTTACTCCTGATAACACTTGTGGACAGTCTGACTCTGACTTCACGTACAGGATGGACGTCCCTGTGCCCCTGGGGCTGCCAGTGCCATGGTGGGCAGCAGGAACCACAGAGGATGGTGCCAGTGAGGCAAAGAGCCACAGCCACAGATTGGCTTCTGTGTCTGGGCCAGCAGAATGGATTCTGTCATTCCATTGGCACGGCCCGTTTCAGCTCAACAATTTCAGTGTCTGACTGCCCAGGATCCTCTCACACTAAACTTCACAGACCAGCCTTTGGCACTGGGAGGCAAAAAGTTGCCTTTAATCCTTGCAAACATGGAAACCGCACATCCCAGGATATTGGCACAGCACAGCAGAGGAGTCCAGATGTCAGAAATGATGACAGGGGAGAAGAAGTGGAATGGGGAAGGATTTGCAAACCAAAGCACAGGGGTAATGATGCAGGCCTGAAGTCCAGTGATTTCATATTTATTCTCTACACCGAAAATGGGAAGAAAAAAATTGAGTTTTAAGGGACACTACATTAATACAGCTTTTGATTATAATATAGCAATTCAATCTGGTGCTCATGAAATGACTTTGCTCTCCTCATCCTACCAATTAAACATCTTATTTTTGGTTTAATCTTCATAACTTGGAGTATGTTTTGGCAGAACCTTAACTTTTTTCAGTTTTGGGGGGAGGGTTTATCTCTCTTTTTCTGAGGGTTTTTTTGCCTGAATCTCGTTGGGTTTTTTCTGAGCTAAATCTTGGTGTTTTGGAGGTTTCTATGGTCACAGGATGCCCGCTGAGTTCTATAGATGGACTTGGGCAGGAGGAACCCCCAAGCCAACACACTCAGCCCTTGTTTTCTCCTCCCCCATCAGGATTTCTCCTTCCCAAAGCTTGGGCGGATGGAGGAGGAGGCTGCGAGGAAGAGGAAGATGCCCTGGGCCCCCCAGGCAGGTGAGGAGGAAGTCAGTGTCCCTTTGGGTGGGTGTTGTGCTGGCTCTGGCAGCCGAGCATGGCCCCCGGCTGCAGGACAACCCCGCTGCCGCCGCCGTCCTGCCGGGGCCGGAGTTGGGGGGATGTCCTTGGCCTTCCCTGTGGGCCGGAGGCAAATCCCCTCCCTGTCCTTCTTGCTTCCTGCCCCAGGCCCCGAGCTGAGGACGGAGAGCCCGGAGGACAAATCCCCCCGGCAGAGCCTGGTGGGAGAGGCTGTTTTGAAGGGCTCCACGGTGCAGGAAGGCAGCGGGGAGGAAAAGACCCAGAGATCCCCCCGCAGGAGGGGCTCCAAAGCCAGCCCAGGGTGCTGCTCTGAGGAGGAAAGACCCAGCCTGTGCCGGGAAGGCGGCCAGAGCTTGAAGCAGAGCTCTGAGCTGGTGGTCCCTGAGCAGCCTCCCAGCAGGCAGAAGCCCTTCAGGTGCTTGGAATGTGGGAAGAGCTTCAGGAACAGCACCGACCTCCTCATCCACCAGCACATCCACACTGGGGAACGTCCCTACACGTGTGGGGAATGTGGGAAGAGCTTCAGGAACAGCTCCCACCTGATCCGACACCAGCAGATCCACACCGGGGAACGGCCCTACATGTGTGGGGAATGTGGGAAGAGCTTCAACCAGAGGTCCCACCTCCTCACCCACCAGCACATCCACACTGGTGAACGGCCCTACACGTGTCAGGAATGTGGGAAGAGCTTCAACCAGAGATCCTACCTCCTCACCCACCAGCAGACTCACTCTGGGGAACAGCCCTACACATGTCAGGAATGTGGGAAGAGCTTCAACTGGAGGTCCCACCTCCTCACCCACCTTCACATTCACACTGGGGACCGGCCCTACATGTGTGCGGAATGTGGGAAGAGCTTCAGTGACAGCTCCACCCTCCGTACCCACCAGCTCATCCACACTGGGGAACGACCCTACAAGTGCTTGGAATGTGGGAGGAGGTTTCGGACCAGCTCAGATCTCCTCGTCCACCAGCGGACTCACACGGATGAGAGGCCCTTCCGCTGCACCGACTGCGGGAAGGGCTTCAAGCAGAACTCCCACCTCGTCAGGCACCAGCACATCCACACTGGGGAGAGGCCCTACAAGTGTGGGGAGTGTGGGAAGAGCTTCAGGGACAACTCTACCTTGACAAGACACCAACAGACCCACCGGTAAAGGAAGCCCTACCAGTGCCCCGACTGCAGGAAGAGCTTCGGC